CTAGGGGAGGCCCAGGACCGGTTCAAATAATCGTCACCGGCGGTGGCCGTGAGCGGGAATCGAACTCGGGTCGCCGGGTGCGTAGCGCTCATCCGCTACACACGTACACAAAGACAAACAAAGATCCCCCATATAGCCTTAACAGACTGTAGGGGCAAGTGCTGTTAGCGAGCACCTATGAAGGCCGGAACGGTACACGACCGCCTTTGTCTCCCTAGCGGCGATGTTTACACACCGCACCAGGTACTCATTTGAGGCTGAGTCGACCTTGAGGGAGGCCCAGGACCGGTTCAGATGATCGTCACTGGTGTTTGCCGTGAGCGGGAATCGAACCCGGGTCGCCAGGTTCGCAGTGCAGCGCGCTAACCGCTGCACCACCGCTCCCCATAATCAAACACACACACGTACACACACACACATACACACACAGACACGTGTACACACAAGCACGCACATTCACCCTTAGTCAACACCTCGCTTGTGTATTAATTCCCTTAATCAATCACTCAACCACTCCCTCACCACACCATCACTCTGCCCACAGAGCCACCCACTCATTCATTCACTTAACTCGCACACGCATGCAACCGCTCACCCATCTCCTCGCTCACCCACTCACTCACCTGCCCACCTACTCACTCACCCATTCACCAACACACCCACCCACCCGCCCACCTATCTACTCGCCCACCCACTCACCCACCTGCCCACCTACTCACTCACCCATTCACCCACACACCCAGCCACCCACCCACCCGCCCACCTATCTACTCGCTCACCCACCTGCCCACCTACTCACTCATCCATTCACCCACACACCCACCCACCCACCCGCCCACTCATCCACTCCCTCACCTACTCACCCACCCGCCCACTCACCGACTCGCTCATCCACTCACCCACACACTCACCCACTCACCCACCCACCCGCCCACTCACCTACTCGCTCACCCACTTACCCACTCACCCACCCACCCGCCCACTCACTCATCCACTCGCTCACCCACCCACTCGACCACCCACCCTTCCCACTCATCAAATACATCGCTCACCATTGTGTGTGTGGGGCGTAGAGGTAAGAGGCGTGGTGAGTCTCGAGTTAAGAACAACTATACAGACATCTCTTCACCATTGTGTGTGGGGCGTAGGGGGTAAGAAACGTGGTGAGTCTCGAGTTAAGAACAACTATACAGACATCTCTTCACCATTGTGTGTGTGGGACGTAGGGGGTAAGAAACGTGGTGAGTCTCGAGTTAAGAACAACTATACAGACATCTCTTCACCATTGTGTGTGTGGGACGTAGGGGGTAAGAAACGTGGTGAGTCTCGAGTTAAGAACAACTATACAGACATCTCTTCACCAATGTGTGTGGGGGGCGTAGGGGTAAGAGCCGTGGTGAGTCTCGAGTTAAGAACAACTATACAGACATCGCTTCACCATTGTGTGTGTGGGCGTAGGGGTAAGAGACGTGGTGAGTCTCGTGTTAAGAACAACTATACAGACATCGCTTCGCCATTGTGTGTGGGGGGCGTAGGGGTAAGAAACGTGGTGAACCTCGAGTTAAGAACAACTATACAGACATCGCTTCGCCATTGTGTGTGTGGGCGTAGGAGTAAGAGGCATGGTGAGTCTCGAGTTAAGAACAACTATACAGACATCGCTTCGCCATTGTGTGTGCGGGGCGTAGGGGTAAGAGGCATGGTGAGTCTCGAGTTAAGAACAACTATACAGACATCGCTTCACCATTGTGTGTGGGGCGTAGGGGTAAGAGGCGTGGAAGCCTCGAGTTAAGAACAACTATACAGACATCGCTTCACCATTGTGTGTGTGAAGCGTAAGGGGTAAGAAACGTGGAAGCCTCGAGTTAAGAACAATGACTAGAAGAACATCGCTACATCAGAATGAGAATATTTTATTTATACTGCAGGAGGAATCCGATAATCTATAAAGCTCTTTTTTTCACAGATTGTCCAGTAGGGGCACATGAGGTCCGAACGTTACAACAACACACAGTTACAAAAACACGCTAGGAGTGTAAGGTAAAAGAACGGTAAACAAGTCACCCAACACACATACAAATGCAACACTACACCATCCCCATCATACCAGGAATAAGCCCCCACTGAGCTATTCAGAAGAGAGCTGGCCATTCTCTTTCTCTCCCCCCTCTTCCGTTCCGATCATAGATGGACTCGTCCGTCTGAACAACCGCCAGTTGCTGTCCGTGGTGCTGACGTTAAGAATAAGTATAACCCGTAAAAACAAAGTTTTTCACTATAAATCCTTTATATGCGTGGCATCGGGGCGGCTAGAGTCCTCTCGTCCTCTGGCTTGAGATGGCTGCCACCTATGGGTCAGATGATTGTCTGGCAGCATTGAACAATTGGTAATTAAATATTTAGTTATTTTTCCCTAAACAGTGTAAAATTTTGGAAAATGCATTGTCACGCACAACGAGTCTGTGTGCAAAATGTCAGCTCGATTGGATCACGGGAAGTGGGTTAAAAAACGACCGAAAGATTTGCACAGTCCTAAGCAAGCAAGCGAACTTAATATAAAGGATTTAAAAATGCCACTTTTTAAAACATTTCTTGCTGTGGTTTTCACACCTGATGACGATTGCTTGTGTTGCAATCGAAACGTCGTGAGAATTTTATTAGTTTAACACGTAGCAGGCTTTCGCGACCAATATTATTCACAATCAACGATTTTTGGGTTAGATCGCGTTATTTATAAATGTGTCGTAACCCTCCACCACCCGACACGGCCAATCAGTAAAAGTGTTACGTTGACAAAAGACAAATAGTTCACTGCTTTAGCCCACTGATGTGTTGAAACGTGAAACCACAACATTTACAATTTTGAGTAGTACGACGTTTCGCTGGTAATTGCATCCAGCATCATCGGGCAATTCGCCAGAATGGTGAATTTTATTGGTTTATTATTTTATTATTTCCCTTCTACGTGACATTACCGAAAGAACCAAGAATACGAATCCCTGCAGTCACGAAAGCTTCAAATCGAAATCATAACATCTCAACAAAGTGGCCTTATAATTTGGGCATTCATATCACCAGCCAAAATAAATCCCAATTAATTTTAACGCATGTTTAAAAATGTGGATGTGAAAACAATCCACGCGACCACGGGGGGAGAGAGAGACATCCCAAAGTCCAAAGATGATTATGAAGCAAAACGTAAATACCAACATTAGCTGGGCCCTATCACCCCTCCACGGAGATAGGTGAAGTGTATTAAAACAAAATTTAAAGTGAACCACTGGCAAATGAAATGAAACTGTTATAAGAGTTTTTAAACAAATCGATTGCAAAATCAGAATTAGTCTCAACGGATAATAAAAAGACAAAGACCCACCCCGTATAACCTGCAACAGACTGCCGGGGCAAGTGCTGTTAGCGAGTAGCAACACCTATGAAAGCCGGAACGAACAGCCAAAGACAAAGATCCCCCGTATAGCCTGCAACAGACTGTCGGGGCAAGTGCTGTTAGCGAGTAGCAGCAGCACCTATGAAGGTCGGAACGGCGCACGAGGGGGTGGGTGGCCAGCACCACGCCCGACCGCCTTTGTCTCCCCAGTGGCGATGTTTACTACACACCGCACCAGGTACTCATTTTAGAAAATGTTCCCTGGGGCAACCGCAATGAGTTACACACACCACTGGGGGGAGGACGGAGGGTGGAATATTAGGCATGAAGAGCCGACCCTAAGACGCGAACTACTGGGCACGGGAAGAAGGATGAGGGGAGCAAGTCACCCTGAGCAAGTCACCCTGAGCAAGTCACCCTGATCAAGGCACCCTGAGCAAGGCACCCTGAGCAAGGCACCCTGAGCAAGTCACCCTGATCAAGGCACCCTGAGCAAGTCACCCTGAGCAAGTCACCCTGAGCAAGTCACCCTGATCAAGGCACCCTGAGCAAGGCACCCTGAGCAAGTCACCCTGAGCAAGTCACCCTGAGCAAGTCACCCTGAGCAAGTCACCCTGAGCAAGGCACCCTGAGCAAGTCACCCTGATCAAGTCACCCTGATCAAGGCACCCTGAGCAAGTCACCCTGAGCAAGTCACCCTGAGCAAGTCACCCTGAGCAAGTCACCCTGAGCAAGGCACCCTGAGCAAGTCACCCTGAGCAAGTCACCCTGATCAAGGCACCCTGATCAAGTCACCCTGAGCAAGTCACCCTGAGCAAGTCACCCTGAGCAAGTCACCCTGATCAAGGCACCCTGAGCAAGTCACCCTGAGCAAGTCACCCTGAGCAAGTCACCCTGATCAAGGCACCCTGATCAAGTCACCCTGAGCAAGTCACCCTGAGCAAGTCACCCTGAGCAAGTCACCCTGAGCAAGTCACCCTGAGCAAGTCACCCTGAGCAAGGGACAATGGTTGGGGGACGTAACGGACGCTCCAGGTAAGGCCGGGGCATCAGTTGTCGAGAGCGTCGGATGGTTTGCCAAATCGTCTTTGAGGCTGCCCGATAGTCCCTCTCCATGGCCTCTACAAACTCCTCACACGCCCAAGGGCTCTCGCTTCAGTGGCTGCTGCCACCCTCTTGGCAAGCCGGTACCTTATTCGGAACCTCATTTGCCAGTAAAAATATGATAATTGGTTTTTTAACCCTTCTATCTGGCAACAAAACTGACACCTTTTTACAAGGAGTCATGTTTGCATAGACCGCAATACCTGCAGTCATAAATACAAACAAAAGACATAACTCTGATAATGTATGCACTGTCCTTGAAGTTGATTGTGCGCCTTTTGGCGTCATCTGGTCCAACACCATGTGAGACTAGGCTCTAAGGAAAGCTGTCTCGGGTGTGGACCAATCAACTTCAAGGACAGTGCACATTATCAGAGTTATGTTTTTTGTTTGTATTATGACTGCAGGTATTGTGGTCTATGCAAAACATGACTCCTTGTAAAAAGGTGTCAGTTTTGTTGCCAGATAGAAGGGTAAATAAAACAATTATCAAGACGGTACCTCTCAATCGAGTCGGGAGACCTTGTTTTCGAGAATGGCTCGGAAAGCCTCCTTCAAACTTGACGGAAGAAAGTTCAACATACAAACGTACACATTCTCGGTGGTAAAGGGAATCCATGGGCAGTGAGGTGGTGGTGGTGGGGTGGGTGCAGAGCTGGCCCAGCCACTAAGCGACCCTTGCAATTGCAAAGGGCCCCGTGGCCAGCAGAGGGCCCCCTAGAGTCACTGCGAGCTAGTGGGTGAAAACAATCATACATCAAAGGAGCCTCCAACCAAATTTTGCTTAGGGCCCCCAAAGGTCTAGGGCCGGTTCTGGGTGGGTGGTTACATAGTGGCACTCTGCAATTTATTGTAGTAAATCGTGGTATGCGGTGGTACACTCTTGTGGTGCATGGCAATGCTCTTGGGCATGTGTGGGTATATATTGCGGTGTGCGGTAATACATGGTGTGGTGGAGCTTTGGACGATGACTTCCTCCTGCCTCTTGGACCTCAGGGTGGCTAGGAGAGCAGCAGCAGCAGCCCCACAGCCACAATCACTGCTTCACTTTTGCTGACCAAGCAGTGGGATGCCAGCGAATTCGCCTCTGTGGTGTGGGAAAGATAGGCACATACGCGCGCACGCACACACACACGGACAAATATTATTAGGCGCCACCACTCTGGGGCGGGCTCCAGGTTGAGCAGCAGCCAGCGGAGTCTCCAGCTCTTTCTTGGAAGGAGGGAAAAAAATCTCTGCGCTGGTGCAGCCACAGAAGGAACTTTAAGACTGCGTGGTCGAGAAAATGTGTCAGTGGTAAGAGCCAGAGGACTCCCTGTCGCACCCGAAGGTGAACAAGGGATCACTGATACCTGGCCATGCAGATTTAATTGGGTCTGCCCGCCAACATGAAGGTCCTTCATAATACATAGCACAGTTTGGTTTGGGTTAGATCGCGTAAATATATAAATGCGTCATTAAACCCGCCACCACCCGACACAGCCAGTTCGTAAGGTTTGTCACGTAAACAGAACATGCATAATCGTTACTAGTGTAGCGACTAACTCGGAGACGATAAGACTTGGAGGCACTTTTTTTATCAACGAGCACCATCGGGATCAACGCACTTAATGTTTAGTCCGTCTGTTATTGGCGACGCTACTCAGCCAGGACAGTTGGTCGGCTGTCTGACCAGCGGCGCCCTGAGATGGTAGAGACGGAGACGACGACGAGAAGAATGGTGAAGACGACGAGAAGAATGGCGACAATGGACTTCAGCAGCACGACGGGAATCCCACTCCAACAACAGCCCCGAGGTCCCCCACAGGGGCCCCTCTTATACCGTCAGCGTGGCCTGGCTCCGCCCCCGGCCACGCCCCCTTTCCGGAACCTACTAGCGGTTCCTGGCAGAGGTCACAATCGGGTGCCCGATACCTGTACCCTACCCGATACCTGGCTACCCGTACCCGGCCGGGTACGGGTAGCTGTTTGCGACCCTGGTGCAGCCGGGTATGGGTAGCCGCACGTGACTCACCTCAACCAATGAGTGAGAAGGCCGTGAGTCACTGGCGAGTCACCGTTTGTCACTCATTTCCCAACGTCTTGTCTCTTCTCACAATTCAAGTTCCTAGAATCAACCCACCTGCGCCTGCAACATGGCTTCATCCCAGAGGTCGCAATCGGGTACCCGATACCCGTACCCGGCCGGGTATGGGTAGCCGGGTATTGGGTAGGGTACGGGTACGGGTACCCGTTTGCGACCCTGGTGCGGCTGGGTACGGGTACGGGTAAGGAATCAAAACCCGTTTGCGACCTCTGGTTCCTGGAGTGCCCCTTCTGTAACCTTTCCCCGAGATCCCCCTCTCGTGTATATCACGTGGCCTGCTGACGTCAGGACTGCCGTACGCCGCAGATCCCCTTTTCTGCCAGCAGGCAGCGCTATGCCACTACACTAGTACAGCAACACCGGTTGTGTGTTGGACCGGACATATGCACGTGCACACAAAGATAGTCCCCCTTTACCTCAAATTCAGTTCTGACAGATGGTTGGGTCAACACGACAGAATCTTGAGTGACGTTGACTTAGAGGAAGATCGGCGTTCAGGATCAGATGCCAGTTGGCAACCATTAATTTAGATCCAAATCATTAAATGGTAAAAACCTGGCTCCGGGAAACTGGGGTGTCAAAATTTGTATTTAGTTTGAGAAGTACAATTTCAGGATGAGAGTCTTCTTTGAGAGTCTGGGAGACCGTCCATGGGGACTTTGCTCCAAAAAAAAACAGGTTTCAAAGCTCACGAAACATTCATACACACACGTGCACACACAGTTGTGCTCATAAAATGCACGCAAATAACGCGAGTGGCTTCGGATTTGAGTCTGGTTTAGCAGCAACATGACAGGGTAGGGAAGTCAAATGTAGACAAAGAGAGTGGATTGTTGATCTTGGAATGTGATATTTTTTCATGTAGTCCTCTACCACATCAAACTTCGCTTCCCCAACTGGAACCTGTGATCCGAACTATAGGAGTCCCCCGTTTCTAAGCTACCTTCATCAACTTTGTCTGAGAGAAGCTTATCTTCAAACTCCTAGTGTCTAGACACGTGATAAAGAAATATACAAAAGCAAACAGAACTGCCAAAAACCCTCATCCGGAAGATAATTATAAAACTTGCATAAAAAAAATGGCGGCCATTAAAAAAAAATGGCAGCCATTCAAAAAAAATGGCGACCTGCAGTGCCCTTACTGGCCAGAGTGAAAACTGCAATCGACGCGTCTCCACGGCACGGCACTGCCGTGAAATTGTAGCTCCCCAGGTCCCAGAGTTGCATCGACTTGATTTTCAGCGACCCGTTGGCATAGGCTGTCGTCCGTCCCGCGTAGCCGGACCCTTGAAGGAGCTCCTGCGGCTCCTCTGCACCGCCCGGCAGGATCCACCCGGCCACGGCCTTCCCGCCGAACGTCCACTGGACTGAGGCCTTGCCGAGGAATGCGTAGTCCACGGAGAGCAGCAGGTCGGCGCCTTGCGCGAAAGTATAGGTGTTTACGGCGGGGACGCTCAGGGTGCCCTGGCCACGCCTACTCTCTAGAAACTTCTGGAGGGACCTGGAATATTGCGTAATCCCCTAGTTCCCACTCGGGGCCTGGGGTGTGTACCAGAGGTCGCAACCGGGTACCCGATACCCGTACCCTACCCGATACCCGGCTACCCGTACCCGGCTGGGTACGGGTACGGGTAGCCGTTTGCGACCCTGGTGCGGCCGGGTTTGGTACGGGTAGGCCGTGAGTCACTGGTGAGTAACCGTTTGTCACTCATTTCGGGTAGGGTACGGGTAGGGAACGGGTACCCGTACCCAGCCGGGTACGGGTACGGGTAAGGAATCAAAACCCGTTTGCGACCTCTGGTGTGTACCTCCGGTTACCAACCACCCTCTGGGTTCCCTGGCCTAACGGGGTTGCTTAGTACAGGCCGCACTCGCTGTTGGCCCCTGTTGACCCATGGCTGGAGCTACACCAGGTCAGTAGTGGTGATGGCGTATTACGTGGACAATACCCACGACAACTGTGGCCAACGCAGGAAATCCACACTCACAATCTAAGCGGTTTTAATTGGCATTTGGAGGGTCAAAATGTTCAGAATGACAACCGCCCCATATGAATATTCTTAGACATCATGGTATGAAAAACAGGAAGAGTGCGGGTCCTGAAGAGGGCAGGGGTTTGAATGGGAAGGGGCGGAGGCTTGAAGAGGAAAGGGGTGGGGCTTCAACAGAAAGGGGTGGGGCTTCAACAGAAACGGGTGGGGCTTCAACAGAAAAGGGCGGGGCTTGACGAGGGAGAGGGCGGGGCTTGAATATTAAGGTGGGGCCGGAAGAGGGAAATCAAAAAAGCAACCTCCAAATGGAAACCCCCGGAACCTCAAAAGATCACGGCGATGAAAGAAAAAAACCATTCGGACCTAGAAGAGGAGTGTTTCAACCGTGAACTTTCCCGTCGGTGTGTAATGTGAGGATATATCAGGCTCAATGACGTATCACAACTCGTCATGATGATTGGCTCTGCCGGTCCTGGTTTACAGCCAATGGGGAGAAGCCTAGGGGCGTGGCCCTGACGTAATGGAAAGGTGACAGCTGGAAGTAGGGGATTGGTTCTGCTGGCTTTGGCCACAGCCAATGGGGAGAGGAGTCAGGGGCGTGGTCCCGACAGCATATGAGGGGGCCTAGAATATTCCATGGAGGCTAACCAGGATTGGGGGAAACGTACCACGTGACCCGGGTATTAAATAGGGGTGGAGACGAACGACACGTGGTCAGAACGGGAACGAACGGAGGAAGGGGGCCACGCGGGAGCGGGGCTCCGGGTTGCCACGTGGCAGTGCGTCTCTCTCTGTCTGTCCCTCTCATGCTGCCTGTCAGCAGCGTGAAGGAAAAGCTGTATACAAGTTGAATAAAAGACGGATTCCAGAAGTCGTCTCAACGAGCTTTATTACAGATGTAAGGAAAAACGTTGCTTACCGTATACGTCCAGCTTGACGCTGGCTCTGCCATCCGGCTGTTTGTTGTCCACCAAGACGACCCCATAAGAGCCGCTGTCACTCAAGGCGATGTTCTTGAGGAGCAGGGAGCCGTTGGAGTGCAGCGCGACACGGTTATGGTATGAATTGTGAATCTGCAGCACAGAACGCGCAAGCAATTTGGGAGAGCCCATGAGCAGCTGCTGGAATTTCATTTTGCGATTTGTTTCCGCAGGAAAGCCTCAAAACCACTGTTGTGAAGATATGGAAACTACTATACTGTAGAGCGATCACGTGGATTGGGGATAAACGGGAGCAAAATGTTTTTTCGGTTTCAGCAAAATTAAGAATCAGCACGTGACTTGTCACGCACATTTCCAAGAATAGTGGCGGGTCTACGGTACGTGGCGGTGACGATCACACGTTCTGAAGCGCGGTGGAAGTAAAATAAAAAATACAATCAAAAGTTAAAACAAAAAATCGAAGACTCACCGTGCCAGCGCTCGTGTTGCTCGATTTCCATTGCGCGATGCGAGACGTGAATGTCCACGTGATTTGCGGGTCGTCATCGTTCTCCACGTAGTTGATGCTGAAGAGGACGTCACTGCCAACCACGCCGGTCACGTTCGAGGTCGCCGGAATGACGTTGATCGCTTCCTTAATACCTGGGGGAGGAAGCGACGAAGAAAGAAAAAGCACGCGAGATATGCACTCTCCTACCTCTTCCCTATCATCTCACTCCACTCCTCTCCACGAACTCTCCTGCCTCTCCCTCTCATCTCACTCTACTCCCCACCACACACGCTCCTACCTCTCCCCTCTCATCTCACTCCACTCCCCTCCACGCACTCTCCTACCTCTCCCATCTAATCTCACTCCACTCCCCTCCACGCAACGCACTCTCCTACCTCTCCCCTCTCATCTCACTCTACTCCCCTCCACGCAACGCACTCTCCTACCTCTCCCCTCTCATCTCACTCTACTCCCATCCACGCACTCTCCTACCTCTCCCCTCTCATCTCACTCCACTCCCATTCACGCACTCTCCTACCTCTCCCCTCTCATCTCACTATACTCCCCTCCACGCAACGCACTCTCCTACCTCTTTCCTCTCATCTCACTCTACTCCCATCCACGCACTCTCCTACCTCTCCCCTCTCATCTCACTCCACTCCCATTCACGCACTCTCCTACCTCTCCCCTCTCATCTCACTATACTCCCCTCCACGCAACGCACTCTCCTACCTCTCCCCTCTCATCTCACTCTACTCCCATCCACGCACTCTCCTTCCTCTCCCCTCTCATCTCACTCTACTCCCCACCACACACGCTCCTACCTCTCCCCTCTCATCTCTTTTTTTTTTTACGATCAGTGGAAACAAGAAGATGTTCGGTGTATTCGGCACTTTGTTTCGTTCATCATTTCGTAATTTTTTTTTTAAACGGGGCTTTATGTTGCCCTCGCTCGCTCGCTCGCTCTCTCGCTCACTCTCTCGCTCGCTCGCTCTCTCGCTCTCTCTCTCGCTCTCTCTCTCGCTCATTCTCTCGCTCCTTCTCTCGCTCACTCTCTCGTTATGTACGCCGCCCCCCTCGCAGTCCGACGGCCTCCGACGGGTAGCTCATATCAGCATGCAGAGCTCCCCGTCATCTGCCACGGAGCACACGGCCTCCTCCATCGCCCACTGCTCCATGAAGGCCGGCACGGCGTGGGTCAGCCGCGCATGGCGGAACTCCAGCCACACCCTGGCTCCGACCAGAGCGCGGAAGATGCCCAGGCTGCTGGCCGGACGTTTCCCCTCCAGGGCCACCTTCCTCGCCCTGTAAATGGCGAGCTTGGCGTAGCCGACAAGCACGTTGACCAGCCCCTGAAGATGTTGGGATCCGTCGCCCTTTCGGTATCCAAAAATGAGGACCGTCGGGGAGAAGTGGAGGCTGAACTTTAGGAGGATGTTTCTCAGGACCTTGAACAGCGAGTCCAGGCTCTTGCACTCCACGTATTGGTGCGCCACCGTCTCCACTTTACCGCAGAACCGGCACTCCGGGGGCGTGTCGGTGAAGCGCGCCAGGGAGGCGTTGGTGGTGATGGTGCCGTGGGCGATGCTCCAGCTGAGGTCGCCGATGCGGTTGTACGTCGGGCTGGAGTAGAGATGCCTCCAGCGAGGCCTCTCCGGAGAGACGCAGGGCAGGGCTTTCCTCCAGGCATGGTCCTTGTGGCTCCTCAGCGTGTCCTGTTGGTGAAACCGGACCATGTAGGAGTAGAGCACCTTCCTCTTGACATTTGCAAAGGCCACCTCTGGTAGGTCTTCCAGCCGGCACAGGTTGAGAAGGCCCCCTTGGCTTCGGCCAGGATCCGGGCAGCCACCCGGAGCGATTGCAGCCCTGTCTTTACGGCCATGTCTGCTGGTCCGAGCCACCGGCCCCGTGTTCCAGGCTCCACCAGATCTCCCATCCTGGTGAGCCGCGCGTTGGTGAGGCGCCTCTCCATGCCGGGGGTGGCGGTGGTGGACGGCAGCTTTGTCTGCGGGTTCCTGAGGATCGGTTCGAAGACCAGATCCTCGGCCGATTGCGGCTGGTTCAGCCTCCTGACGGCGAGGGAGCTCCACGTCTGCAGGACGCTCCTGTAGAAAGGTGGCAGCTGTCCCAGTGGGAGGCCCTGCAGGTCCATATAGAATAGTTGTTTGGAGCACTGCAGACCCCCCAGCTGTTTGAGTAGGAAGGAGGCCGTGACGCTCCAGGCTGGTGCAGGGGTGGCGTGCAGGAACTTTTGTGCGGCCTGCAGTCGGAAGGTGGCCAGCTGACTCCGCACGCACACCAGCCCGTGACCGCCCTCGTCCAGTGGCAGGGCCAGGACCCCAGCCGCGACCCGGTGTCCTCTGCCCGACCAGAAGAAGTCGAGGACTCGCTTTTGAAGCGCGTTGACGAGGCTCATGGGGGGGTGCAGGGAGAAGAGTCGGTGCCACAGCATGGACGTCACCAGCTGGTTCACCACCAACGTCTTTGTCCTGAAGGTGAGGAACTTGCACAGGCGACTCCAGGTGCCCAGCCGCTCCTTCACCTCCTCCTCCAGCTCGACCCAGTTCCTTTGCGGTGGTTCCTCCTCTGGTCCCAGGAACACCCCCAAGTGGTGCAGCGATGTTGTGCTCCAATTGATGGTTTTTGCCTTCTCCGGACACTCGGTCATGTCCCACGCTCCAACCAGCAGGCCGCTGCACTTTTGCCAGTTCATTTTGGATGAGGAGGCCTTCGAAAAGACCTCCTGGCACTCGTGCAGCAGGGCGACATCATCCAGTGAACGAAAGATGAGGAGGATGTCATCGGCGTATGCCGTCAGGACCAAACTGATGCTTGGTTCCCTGAGCACCAGGCCGCTGAGTCTCTGCCTTATGAGACTCAGGAAAGGCTCTAATGCCAGTGCATAAAGTTGGCCCGACAATGGGCATCCCTGTCTCACTCCTCGCTCGAATTTAACGGGGGCAGTGAGGGCGCCGTTGATCTTGATCATGCACTCCGCCTTGGTGTAGAGTAGGCGGATCGTTCGGACAAAACCATCTCCAAAACCAAAGGTCTTGAGGGTTCCCAGCAGGTATTTGTGGTCCACTCTGTCAAAAGCCTTTTCCTGGTCAAGGGCCAGAAACGCGATTGGGATGCCCAACCTCTGGGACATCACGATGAGGTCTCTGACCAGGAAGATGCCGTCGTGGATGGATCGCCCGGGGATGGTGTAGGACTGGTCCCTGTTTACGACTTGTGCAATCACCCCTTTCAGTCGCAGGGAGAGAGCCTTTGTCAATATTTTGTAGTCGGTGTTCAGGAGGGACACCGGACGCCAGTTTTGTAGGTGCCTCAGGTCTCCGTTCTTGGGAAGCAGAGTGAGCACCGCCCTCCTCCAAGACTGAGGCATCACCCCGGTGACAGAGGCTTCCTCCAGCACCTCTCTGTAGTCCTCCTGTAGGGATGGCCAAAAAGCGGCGTAAAACTCCCCTGTTAGCCCGTCTAACCCTGGGGATTTATTTGGGGCCAGTCCTCCTACAGCTGCGTCAAGGTCATTCCTGGTGAGCTTTTGCTCCAGCAGCTCTTTCCCGTCTTCCTCCAGGGTGGGTAGACCGCTCCATGCCTCCGCCTGGGCCGCTCCCGATGTTTCTTCAGGGGAGAACAGGCTGCCGTAGAAGTTTCTGATGATGGTCGACTTCTGCTGGAGTTCGTGCGCCAGGACACCGTCACCATCAAAGAGGCACTCCATGGATTTGCGTCTCCCGTTCTGTTTCCCGAGGGAGTAGAAAAACGGGGATCCCATGTCGAGGTCTGTGATGAGCTTCACCCGGGATCGCACAAACGCTCCCCTCGTCTGCTCCTCCTGTAGGCCTTTGAGACGCTCCCTAATCTCCTCGTATTCTCGGAGAAGAGCAGGGTCATTGTCCTCGGCGAGGCGACTCTCCAAATCGAGGACCCGGGCTTCCATGTCGGTGATGTCCGCGTTCTTCAGTCTGGTGCTCCCCCAGGTGTATTGTTGGCACAACAGCCTGGTGTGCACTTTGCCCATGTCCCACCATTGGGCCAGAGAGTCGAACTGCGTTTTGGTTTTTCTCCACTCTTCCCAGAAGTCCTCGAACATCTCTATGAAGGTGCCATCCCCCAGCAGCGAGTTGTTAAAATGCCAGTGGGACGCGCCCTCGCGGGCTCTCTCCAGCCTGACACGGAGCACGATGAGGTTGTGGTCCGTGAATGGTGCCGCCCTGATGCCAGACGTTATGGCGCACGTCACAAAGTTCTTAGAGATGTAAAATCTGTCGAGCCTGGACTGTGTCACCGAGCCATCGCGCCTCGTCCTTGTGTACGTGAACTGGCGTTGGCCCGGGTGATGTATGCGCCACACGTCCACCAAGGCGGCGTCCTCCAGTAGTCCCTGCATCTCCCTCTTCGGCCCAACTCCCCCCTGCTGCCTTCCCGAACGATCCAGGGCGCCGATTGTGCAGTTGTGGTCGCCACCCACAATCACGCACTCGTCGTCCGGGATCCCAGCCAGGTGCCTCCTCAGGAGGTGCAGGAATGGGATCTTCTCCTTGTTGTTGACCGGCGCGTACACGTTCAGTAGGTGGGTGGTGACATCGCCCACCCTGACCGTTACCGCGAGCAGCCTTCCCTTCACCACTTCGGTCTGGGTGATGAGCTCGGGATGAAACCCTTTAGCGAACAGGGTCGCGACTCCACAGGAGGTGTTGTCAAGGTGGCTGTAGAAGGAGTCCCCTCCCCACTCCTTCCTCCAGTCATCCTCGTCCTCGACCGTGAGATGCGTCTCCTGAATGAAGAAGACAGAGGCAGCGTGTTTCCTCGCAAGAGACATTGCGGAAAACCTCCGCACTGCCTCCCTGCAGCCGTTCACGTTTAGGGAGGCGATGTACATAGGCATTGGTTTTTACTTGCCTCCATGTCCTCCCACTTCCTAATTTGTCTGCGGAAATATCTCAGCTTTGCCCTCTCCTTGCCCCGGGACTTGAGTCCCTGATTGGCGAGGACTCTGTCGGCTTGAGTCACAGAGGCCTTTATTGCCTTGCTGTCCTTCCATCGAACCATGGCAATGTCCGCTCTGTCCTTCCTCAGGTTGGTATCGTCAAGGAATTTCCAGAGATCTTCCGAGGAGACCAAGCAAGTCTGAGAGTCAAGGAATGTAGACTCCTGGCTGCTCTCGCTCTCCACACTGAGGCAGTCGTCCCGATCAGAGTCGATTACCCCGGCATCCGTCTCTGCTGGAAGAGCTGCAGCGGCTGGGCTGGCGCATGGCCCAGCGGCATCCTCTCCCCCAGTGTCGTGGACGATTTGGGATGTCTCCTGCTCAGGCTCTTCGGGTGGATGGCCCCGGGGTGTCTCTTCCACTGGTTTTGGGTCAGCAGTGGGACGGGGACCTTCCTCGTCATTCCCATCCATTTCATCCTCGGCGAGTGTGCTTGATGACTCTCCACCGACTTCCTCCTCTTGGTCGAGGGCTGAGCCAATAGGATCTGTCATCGTTTCATGCATAGCTGGTGGGGAGTGAGTCTCTATCACCGCAGTAGACGGGTCGATTTCCGTGGCGATGTCGCCTTCATCGTCCGCGCTCTCCTGCTGTGGAAACCCGTCCCCAGACACACGCTGCTTCTTCCTCTTGACGAGTTTCTTCCTCGCCACCCGCGCGTCACTCGGCGTGGCGTCCGGGATGGCGAAAACCATGTCGTCGGCGTCCGGCAGCTGTTCTGCTTCCTCCCCCGGTGTGGGAGGTTTCACCGCTTCTTCCGGTTCGAGGTCTGGGAGGGGTTCCTCCTCTGAATTAGACCCTTGCGATCCGGTTTCTTCAGTATTTTTCCTCTTGCGATTAGTCGCTTGAGGTGGCGATGTTGGGGCCACTACCTCAGGTGTAGGAGGCTGCGTGGCTGGCGGGTCCGGTGTGGGCTGTTGGGGGCCTTGTTGCAGTGGGGGCTCTTGCTGCTTTCCCCCCTCTGCTGTGCCTCCCTCCTCCCCACTCTTTTCTCCGACCCTTGGCGTCGTCGGTTTAGGGCAATCCCTTCGGAAGTGGCCCTCTTCTTTGCAAAGATTGCATTTGATGCAATCCTTGGCATAAAACAGTCTATGGGCAATGCCTGCATAGACAATCACAAACGATCCCTCCCCGTGTTGTCCGGGAGTCAGTAGGACTTGCACCTGCCTCCTGAAAGAAAAGACGTGTTTCAGGGTGGGGTGTCTGCACCCCAGCGACAGGCCACGTACTGGCGACACGACCGTGCCCAGCTTGAACACGTGCTCCAGCATGTCCTTGTCGGGGATGTAGGGCGGCACGTTGGAAACGACGATTCGCGCCGCCACCGAAACGATGGGTTCCAGTTGGACGTACACTCCCCGCACGGTTATCCCCTTCTCGACGGCCGCATCGGCCACCTTCTTCGTCGTCAGGAAGAAGACGGCTTTCCCGCTGAGCTTCGCGGCGTGGGCGATGGTGTCTGGCGGGATGATGGCGGCCAGGGCCACGACGTACTCCTCGATCATGACGGAGCTCGAGGCGTAGCAGCGGATGCCATTCTCGCGCGGCGGAAATGTTCGCTGCGCGCTTGGGGGGGTTGGCCTTGGAGCAGAGGCCCGAGTGGGGGGCCTCGTGGCTCCGGGCAGATTGGCAGCTGCGGCCTGTGCGTAGGTGGCCATTTAATTCCTCTTACCCAAACGCTGCCTGACTGTGGTGTAGCGCTTCTATATAGAGCTCCCTTCGAGAGTGTAAACTGAGGATCAAGAAGTAATCCTCGTTGAAGAAAATAAAGAAAGTTAGGAAAAGGAATAAATTAATTTATTGAATAAATTAGATGTATTTATTATTTATTGAATAAATTAACCTATTGAGAAAAATAGAATGTACAAATAAATAATAAATGGAGATCGAATTATAAATTTACGTCATAAATAAATAAATAATCTGTACCTGCGCGAAAGGAGCCCAATAGTTAATCATTAACCATTAGGCTTCCTAATCCGCAAAGTCAACAGTAGCGTTCAAATTATCGTGTGGCTTTAACTCTGTGCTTTAACGGCAAATGCTCACACAAGAAACAAGTTATAACAAATCTTAAATAGTTTGAGAATCGCAAACTGAGATTAACAACATAAGCAGAAGAATACCGGAACTATAAGCAAAGTATAAAAAGCCTGTTAAAGTATGAAAACGATGCTTGAATAAACTATGGGTTTGACCACCGCACTTTAGAAACAACAGCGTGTTTCAGAAGGCTGTGCCTCACCCCGAGCTGTTAAGCTTCAGAAAGTAAAGAAAAATGGAAAACCACACAAATATGTGTGTGCAAGAGGCAGAATACTTACTCGTACTGAGTAAAATCTGTAAAGAAATAAAGCAGTTAGAAGCGGGTTTTTAAGAAATATGATAAGAAAATCAGGAGCTCAAACGAAGCGCGTCTCTCTCCTCCCTCTCTCTCCCCTCTCATCTCACTCTACTACCCTCCACGCACTCTCCTGCCTCTCCCCTCTCATCTCACTCTACTCCCCTCCATACGCTCTCCTACCTCTTCCCTATAATCTCACTCTACTCCCCTCCACGCACTCTCCTACCTCTCCCCTCTCATCTCACTCCACTCCCCTCCACGAACTCTCCTACCTCTCCCCTCTCATCTCACTCCACTCCCCTCCACGCACTCTCCTACCTCTCCCCTCTCATCTCACTCTACTACCCTCCACGCTCTCTCCTACCTCTCCCCTCTCATCTCACTCTACTCCCCTCCACGCTCTCTCCTACCTCTCCCCTCTCATCTCACTCTACTCCCCTCCATGCTCTCTCCTACCTCTCCCATCTAATCTCACTCCACTCCCCTCCACGCACTCTCCTACCTCTCCCCTCTCATCTCACTCCACTCCCCTCCACGCAATGTCAACGATCTGCAATGATGGAAATTCTCTCTTTCAACTTGGAACTGCCAGCCGTCAGCGGACCGGATCACCTCCGCGGTCGGCCGCGATGTTAAAAGCAAACGTTTTCGGGAGGGAAGGGGGGGCGGGCAAGGATTGTATTGTGCCGCTTAAATTGTCTAGAACTCGCCGCCCTCCCAGCCACGTCGTGCGCGCAGCACGACCCCGTCGCTTACCGTAAACGTCGAGCCGGACGGCCGCCACTCCGTCCGTCGAGACGAAGTCCAAGATGCGGACGGTGTAAGAGCCGGTGTCGGACTGCAACACGTTCCTGAGGAGCAGAGAGCCGTTGGAGTACGGCTCAACGCGTCCTTTGTAGGCTTTGTGAATCTGTGGCAGCCGGGACAACGCAAACGGAGGGGCGGGGAGGGGTTTACGGGGGGCAACCACGCAGGGATGACACATTAACCCCAGGGATGACACATTGACCCCAGGGATGACACACTGACCCCAGGGATGGCACATTGACCCCAGGGTTGACACATTGACCCCAGGGATGACACACTGACCCCAGTGATAGCACACTGACCCCAGGGATGACACACTGACCCCAATGATAGCACATTGACCCCAAGAATGACACATTGACCCCAGGGATGACACACTGACTCCAGGGATGACACACACACCCCGGGGTTGACACATTGACCCCAGGGATGACACATTGACCCCAAGGATGACACACTGACCCCAAGGTTGACCCATTGACCCCAGGGATAACACATTGACTCCAGGGATGACACACTGACCCCTGGGATGGCACATTGACCCCTGGGATGGCACATTGACCCCTGGGATGGCACATTGACCCCAGGGATGACACACTGACCCCAGGGACGGACACCTCAGAGCCTCCGCTCAGCTAGCCCAAGCGGGATGAGGCGGTGGGCCGCCAGCAACGAAAATAACCACAGGAGGCATTTGTTTGTGTCCGAACGCGGCAAACAACAACAACAACAACTTTCAATATCTCGTGGTGGTCATCGATTGAAGCGATTAGTCGCTAGCAGGGGTGCTCGTTAAGAGGGGTTCTACTGTCTAGGGTAGTGTATAGTGTAGTGTATAGTGTAGTGTATAGTGTAGTGTATAGTGTAGTGTATAGTAGTGCATAGTGTAGTGTATAGTGTAGTGTAGTGTGTAGTGTATAGTGTAGTGTATAGTGTAGTGTATAGTAGTGTATAGTGTAGTGTATAGTAGTGTAATGGGTTCAATTTAGGCGCACACACTTCTTGGGAGGCAACACTCATTATTAATTAACACAACGTTTACTCAACAGTTACTCTTACTCTACACATAGGATGGTGACCACCGACCTACACTAGCTAACACACCATTGTATTTTAGTCTCTCCAGCGTGACCCAGCCAGGTGGCTGCTGGCAGTCCGCTCACTGTAGGTCTTCTCTTCTGGCATCTTCACGAGGTGTCTTCATTCTTCTCAGGAACAGCCCTGCTCTGCCTTCACACCACCCTTATATCTCGTCTCTCTGGCGTGGCCGGCTCAGCCCAGGCCACGCCTCCCTTCCCAGGCCACGCCTCACTTCCCAGGCCACGCCTCACTTCCCCCACCTCTGGGAAGGTCCGGATCCCTCCAGCACGTGACCCCCCAGGCACCCCCTTGGGGCCCCCAGCCCTCGTACGGGCCAACACAGTAGTGACCGTTCTGTCACTACATCACCCCCTCCTGTATAAACACACAGCCGTCCCCGGCTGTAACACAACTGTGAACATCGAAAAGGTGTGCCTCCGAACCAGCAACATCAATAAATGACCGGCGACCGATAAGAAATACAATCACGTAATATATACAGAATCGACGAGGGTAAAAGGGAACCGCATAGAAAACGGGGAATTAACAACAAATATACATGAAAACTGGCTAACCCACTAACGCTACAGCACAGCCCCCCCACCGTTAGAATCACGCATGCAATGACAGTCACCCGTTAGCACCCCCCCGCCTTTCCGACGTGGCGTCACAACCAGTAGCACGCGTCGGCCATATCGGGGGGGGAATTTCCATGTTACCACCCCACCGCCTTTCCGACGTGGCGTCACAACCAGTAGCACGCGTCGGCCATATCGGGGGGGTTTTAACCCAGTCTCTCTCCAAGACTCGCATCGCAGCATATAGCTGTACCGACCGAGCTGAGATGACCCAGTCTCTCTCCCAGACTCGCATCGCAGCATATAGCTGTACCGACCGAGCTGAGACGACCCATCGTTCACTCACTGCACAACATGCACCCTAACAACTGAGGGAAACAGTCTCAACGTAACAGGCCAACTCCACCCGAACCTTACGAATCTCCAGCCCACTGTTTCAACGCGCCTCAGAGGGTCTCAACCTCCGAGCCGTCAGGTCAAGCTGTCAGCCATAGCATGACGGGACCACCCTCCCTGAGCCATGTGAGCGCACAGCCCACAAGGCTAGACAAGCCACCGAGTGTCTCGCTCTCCGGGCTGTCAGGTCAAGCCGTCAGCCATTGCATGACGGGACCACACACTCCGAGCCATGTGAGCACACAGCCCACTAGGCTAGACATACCACGGAGTGTTTCAAGCTCCGGGCTGTCAGGTCAAGCCGTCAGCCATAGCATGACGGGACCACACTCTCCGAGCCATGTGAGCGCACAGCCCACTAGGCTAGACATACCACGGAGTGTTTCAAGCTCCGGGCTGTCAGGTCAAGCCGTCAGCCATAGCATGACGGGACCACACTCTCCGAGCCATGTGAGCGCACAGCCCACTAGGCTAGACATACCACGGAGTGTTTCAATCTCCGGGCTGTCAGGTCAAGCCGTCAGCCATAGCATGACGGGACCACAACGTTCATGTTAGACACGCAACACTCACTGGGCCATCCTGGTCAGGACCTGCGCCCCAAGATAGTGACAGCCAGCAGCACAATTCCAAATCCCTGGCAGCATGTCACCATCGCAATTTAACACCATCACAACACATACAATTTGAATTATGATCCCCCACAGAACTAATCCAATGCCGAACAGGTACGCACAATTTTTTTTTTTTGACGATCCCGAATATTCAATGGTCACAACAATACACCTCACATCCCGTATCCGTACACATCATCTCCGAGACTCGCATTGCAGCAATGCAGCTGTACCAACCGAGTGGAGAGAGCAATGCAATTTGACGGCAATTAACGGAAACGCACCCCCGATCCATGTAGAACACAAGGAGCATTCCCGCACAAAAGACATCATCTGTGCAACAACTGACAGGAACCAACCAGTGAGTTTGAAACAAACCGAACCTGTCACTTCAAAATCCCCTTCAACATTAACCATGGGACTCAGGGCATTCGAATTTTGAGAGAAAAAAACTGTACACAAACCCCAAGAATCGCCGAATTGATTAATACAGTATATGCAGTATACGAAGTTCGTACAGTCAATCATTTGGCACAATGCACCATCCAGTCCCCACATGGCAACACACACAATCAATACTCCAGACAATCCGTACATAGTAAATAATCACAAGCAAGTACCCAACATTCCATACACTGTTAACAATGACGATCAAAGTTTCTGACAGTTGCAAGTGACAATCACGAGCGAAACTCCATACAGTATACACAATAACAATGGCGATTTCGCAACACAACGATGTAACAACACGAGTCATTAACACGGCAACATACAGGATATCAACGGAGCTCGGGACACCAACAACGAATTAATCATTAACTACCCCCAGAAGATACCGATCTCGACGCCGTAATTAACAACAAACACTGGTCGCCGCGTCAATTTCTCACGCACACAACCGGACGAACACGTTCCGCAACCCAGCGAGTAAAAAAAAAAACCGCGATCGCAACCCGGCACACGCAAGATGGGTGAAGTTATTATTATTTTTATTGGGGCCGGGTGCTTGTCAAGTCACAACTCGCCTGGCAAACTGTGAATAGCGGAGGGCGGCAAGGTGGAGCACTGGAACGGCCTGAAGAATCTTTGATGGTGAACACGGCCTGCTCTTGCGAACCCATCCACCTCTCACGCTCGAGCAGAAGGCTGGAACTCCCCCTCTGCAGGCGTTGATGTCGGCGGGAGCGGCATTTCGGCAGCAGGAGCGGTGTTTTGGCGGGAACAGCGCCCCGACCCGCCGCCGAAATGGCGGGAACGGCGTTTTGGCGGGAACCGCGCCCCGACCAGCCGCCGAAATGGCGGGCCCACCGCGTGGCCCGCATGCCCAGGCCTCCCCCGCCAGCCACCGCAGCGACGATGGTGTCCTCTCGCCGCGGCTCCGTCGCTCCGTTCCCGATGGCGGCGAAGCAGCAGTGCGATGCAAGTCCCGCCGCTCCGCGTGCAGCGCCATCTCTCTCTCTCTCTGTCACCGGGGCTGCCATCCCCGGGGCTGTCCGAAGGATGGTCGTCACACCATCCCCGTCGTACGAAGACGTCCAGATGAGTTTTATATTTGTTTTTCGTGTGCCCATTTTACTTCCCTAGGATAACACCTAGCAATATTTATTTTTCCACAACTTCTGACACCAAATGTAATGGGTTCAATTTAGGCGCACACACTTCTTGGGAGGCAACACTCATTATTAATTAACACAACGTTTACTCAACAGTTACTCTTACTCTACACATAGGATGGTGACCACCGACCTACACTAGCTAACACACCATTGTATTTTAGTCTCTCCAGCGTGACCCAGCCAGGTGGCTGCTGGCAGTCCGCTCACTGTAGGTCTTCTCTTCTGGCATCTTCACGAGGTGTCTTCATTCTTCTCAGGAACAGCCCTGCTCTGCCTTCACACCACCCTTATATCTCGTCTCTCTGGCGTGGCCGGCTCAGCCCAGGCCACGCCTCCCTTCCCAGGCCACGCCTCACTTCCCAGGCCACGCCTCACTTCCCCCACCTCTGGGAAGGTCCGGATCCCTCCAGCACGTGACCCCCCAGGCACCCCCTTGGGGCCCCCAGCCCTCGTACGGGCCAACACAGTAGTGACCGTTCTGTCACTACAGTAGTGTAGTGTATAGTAGTGTATAGTGTAGTGTATAGTGTAGTGTGTAGTATAGTGTAGTGTATAGTGTAGTGTATTTGTTAGTGTATAGTGTCGTGTATAGTTTAGTGTATAAGGTAGTGCATAGTGTATTGTATAGGGTAATATATAGTATAGTGTATAGGGTAGTGTATAGGGTAGTGTATAGGGCAGTGTGTAGGGTAGTGTATAGTGTTAAGCGATTAGTCGTTAGCAGGGGTTCTACTGGACTGCTCTTTTTCAGAAGCGAACCTGGTGATCGCAAGTGACAACGCAGCTCAACGCAGCGACGTCGCGTCGACATTGATGGCAGCTGCCACATATTTCCAAGGCGCGACGTTGATTTTAAAATGTGGGAGGGGAAAATCCGGAGAGTCCGTAGGAAAAAAAATCGACGCGACTATGAAGAGAGAGAGACGCGCGAACTCCAAATATACAGCAGCAGGCGTCAGGGTCAGGATCAAACCCACGACCTCCTGTACACCAGGCGAGGTAGTTAACATCTCCTAGCCACCGTCATGATGATGAGAGAGAGAAACGCGAACTCCAAATATACAGCAGCAGGCGTCAGGGTCAGGATCGAACCCACGACCTCCTGTACAACAGGCGAGGTTGTTAACATCTCCTAGCCACCGTGATGATGATGATGAGAGAGACAAGCCAACTCCACATATAGAGCAGGCGTCAGGGTCAGGATTGAACCCATGACCTCCTGCATACCAGGCGAGGTAGTTAACATTTCGCCACGTAGTAGCAGTAGTGGTAGTAATTTTTATCGACAATAAAACAAATTTCGTTGGGGTTAGATCACACGAAATTTTTACGCGTTGTAAAACCTGCCACCACTCGACACAGCCAATTAGTAAAAGGTTGTCACGTAAACAGAGCGGACCCAATGAGTAACTTAGTTGAGGAGGAACCGGTTGTGTGTTGTTCTTCTTTCCTGGTTTGCGCAACGCTAACAGATGAAGGTTACTGCTGGCGAAGTTTTACGGCGGAATGAATCAACAAAGCGACGCATTCCCGCCGGAGGCAACGATGGCAGTGCCGGATGATCCTCGTAGCACAAGTAGCTACATAAGTAGTAGCTACTATACACTACACTATACACTATCCTATACACTACACTATACACTACACTATACACTACTATATACTACACTATACACTCAGTGGCGGCTGGTGATATTTATTTTTGGGGGGGCGCATTTTTTAAATTTTATTGAGGGGGGCAAATAAATATAAAGCAGTACCAAAAGCCATTTTGACTACTTGAATATAAATTTTGATGATCTTTATTTACATTTCAGACCAAAAGAAGTACCAAAAAGCATGTTTCCTACTTGAACATAAATGTTTCTCTTTTATATACATTTCAGACCAAAGTACCAAAAAGCATGTTTCCTACTTGAACATAAATGTTTCTCTTTTATATACATTTCAGACCAAAGTACCAAAAAGCATGTTTCCTACTTGAACATAAAAACGTTAGTTTCATGCTATTATCAATATGGCTGCGGCTACTTTCATGACGTTTGCATTTGTCAGAGAGATGTTTGAGGTCTCTTACCCCCGTCGTTGTCCACACAACTTCAGTGCCGACACTTTGAAATAAAAGACAGGGAAAACAAAAAAGAGAATTGCTAACATCACATCCAGCCAGCCACCTCCGTTTCTCATAACAAGCGCGGGTGAAGCTTCGTGTGTAGCTTCGTCCTCTGTCACTGGCCTGCTGCTGGATTTGTAAATCGGGTTGGTCCGGTCCGAGATCCTTTATCTTTTTTATTTCTTCCAGCGAAAGCCTTGTGAAAGGGTTTTTTTGTAAATAAATTACAGAATTTGGATGAACTGCTGCCATTGTTTACACAAAAAATTTGATCAGCCTAGCAAGTGTCAAAGTGGTGTCGCCTTCGCACTCGCAGTAGTGGCCTACAGCGTAAATTTGAATGACAGGTGACGAGAACCAATCAGATTGGATAAAATAACATGTATCCAATTCTGATTGGCCAGGGACGCAACGACTTGCGCCCCGAGGAGAATCTTTAAGAAACCAATTAGAGACCAGCTTCAGGTCACATGCTGTCCGAAAATGTAAAGTCTCACATAGACATCCATTTGTCCGGCGCCCCGCATAAAACACATTGAAAAACATAGAAAATAGTTGACCGATTAAAGCCAGTTTTTATTAAATGCTGATGCTTTTCTTACTACCAGCCGGCACATCGTATGAAAAAAATATTTTATTTATGTATTTTTATATAAATTTTGTATATGTATATTTCTGGAATATTGATGGGGGCGGCGCCCCTGCGCCCTCTATTGACGAGCCGCCACTGTATACACTACTATACACTACCCTATACACTACACTACTATACACTACACTATACACTACACTATACACTACACAGTACACTACCCTATACACTACACTATACACTACCCTATACACTACACTATAGACTACACTATAGACTACCCTCTACACTACACTATACACTACACTATACACTACTCTATACACTACACTATACACTACGCTATACACTACTCTATACACTACACTATACACTACCCTATACACTACACAGTACACTACCCTATACACTACACTACTATGCACTACACTATACACTACTATACACTACCCTATACACTACACTACACACTACACTGTACACTACACTATACACTACCCAATACACTACACTATACACTACCCTATTCACTACACTATACACTACCCTATACACTATCCTATACACTGCCCTATACACTACCCTATACACTACCCTATACACTACCCTATACACTACCCTCTACACTACCCTATACACTTCACTATACACTACACTATACACTACACTATACACTACCCTATACACTACACTATACACTACCCTATACACTATCCTATACACTGCCCTATACACTAATCTATACACTACCCTATACACTATCCTATACACTACCCTATACACTACACTATACACTACACTATACACTACCTATACACTACACTATACACTACCCTATACACTACCCTACACACTACCCTATACACAACCCTAAACACTATAATATGCAATACCCTATACCCTACATATGTAATGAGAGAGATCACCATCTAGTGGGCGACAAGGGGTAACTGCATGGCCACTATCGGGTAACCGGTATCCAATCCTAAGCGGGGGATTACATCTGGGCAGAGGTCGCAACCGGGTCCCCGATACCCGTACCCTACCCGATACCCGGCTACCCGTACCCGGCCGGGTATCGGGTACCCATTTGCGACCCTGGTGCGGCTGGGTACGGGTAGACCGTGAGTCACTGGTGAGTCACCGTTTGTCACTCATTTCGGGTAGGGTAGGGTACGGGTAGGGAACGGGAACCCGTACCCGGCCGGGTATCGGGTACCCATTTGCGACCCTGGTGCGGCTGGGTACGGGTAGACCGTGAGTCACTGGTGAGTCACCGTTTGTCACTCATTTCGGGTAGGGTAGGGTACGGGTAGGGAACGGGAACCCGTACCCGGCTGGGTACGGGTTCCCATTTGCGACCCTGGTGCGGCCGGGTACGGGTAGGGAATCAAAACCCGTTTGCGACCTCTGCATCTGGGCCAAAGGCAATGGGTGGAGTCAGTGAGAGCGTTCAGGAACCATCTGGAAGGTTCCACGAGGGAGCCTGGAACGTGTCGCTGCTCAGTCTCTCGTCGCCATTGACCACGTGGTGGATCAACCCAGCGGAGCTCGCCTCTCGTCCAGGCACGTGACCAGCCAGCGGTGGGACCGGAGGGAGAGGGGAACGAACCCCCGACATGTCTAGTAGCTACTACTACACGTGTAGTAGCTACTACACGTGTAGTAGTAGCTACTACATATTGTGTAGCTACACATGTAGTAGCTACTACATATGTAGTAGTAGTAGCTACACATGTAGTAGTAGCTACATATGTAGTAGTAGCTACATATGTAGTAGTAGCTACTACTACATATGTAGTAGTAGCTACTACTACATATGTAGTAGTAGCTACTACTACATATGTAGTAGTAGCTACTACTACACATGTAGTAGCTACTACATATGTAATAGTAGCTACGGGCCCCGCACTTATCAAGGGAACCCACGCTAAATGCTTTCAAGCTATAAATTCCGATTCAGTGATTCTGCACTTGCTCTATTACTTTAGTACTATACCGCCTTCGACTTTAACGAACGACCGGGTGTTAAGGTTCGCGATTTGTATTATCTGGCCGTAAAGCAAAACTAAACAATTACTTTACTGTGCAAATTAAACATTTATGTGTTTTAATAGTTAAGTTTATTTTTAGGGCCCATTTAAAACAGCAAACGCTACAGACCCCGCACTTAGCTCAAAGGTCGCAAACGGGTTTTGATTCCTTACCCGTACCCGGCCGCACCAGGGTCACAAACGGGTACCCGTACCCGGCCGTACTCGTACCCTACCCGTACCCGGCCGGGTACGGGTAGGGTACGGGTATCGGGTACCTGATTGCGACCTCTGGGATGAAGCCACGTTGCAGGCGCGGGTGGGTTGATTCTAGGAACTTGAATTGTGAGAAGAGACAAGACGTTGGGAAATGAGTGACAAACGGTGACTCACCAGTGACTCACGGCCTACCCGTACCCGGCCGCACCAGGGTCGCAAACGGGTACCCGTATCCGGCCGGGTACAGGTAGCCGGGTATCGGGTACCCGGTTGCGACCTCTGACTTAGCTTCATCCGGCACTGAACTGCACGCAGAGAGGTTGCCGATTTCATCTTTCGCGTGCACCGTTTTGCGAGGCGTCCTCGCCACGTCGGTAAAAACCCCCAAAATTATATAAACAACCAACGAGTGTGATTCGTAAACTCACGACGTTATTGCTCAAGTTGCCGGATTTCCATTGAGCGATGTTGTTTTTGAACGTCCACGTGATCTGTGGGTCGGTCACATTCCCGGAGTAACTGACGTTGAAGAGAACGTCCCTGTTCACGGTCTGGATCGGATTGAAGGGCGGCTGAATGACCACGACTCCTGCCACGGGTCCTGCAAGGCACAAGAGAAGCACCCCTCACTCCACTCCACTCGCTCACTCCATTCCACTCGCTCACTCCACTCCACTCACTCCACTCCACTCACTCCACTCGCTCACTCCGCTCACTCCACTCCACTCACTCACTCGCTCTCCTGCCTCTCATCTCACTCCACTCCCCTCTCATCTCACTCCACTCCCCTCCACGCACTCTCCTACCTCTCATCTCACTCAACTCCCCTCTCATCTCACTCCACTCCCCTCCACTCACTCTCCTACCTCTCCCCTCTCCTCTCACTCCACTCTCCCCTCCACTCACTCATTCCACTCGATCTCCTGCCTCTCATCTCACTCCACTCCACTCGCTCACTCCACTCCCCTCAGTCTCTCACTGTAATCGCTCTCCTGCCTCTCATCTCACTCCACTCCCCTTCACTCACTCACTCCACTGACTATCCTGCCTCTCAGCTCACTCCACTCCACTCAGTCACTCACTCCACTCACTCTCCTGCCTCTCCCCTCTCATCTCACTCCACTCCCCTCCACGCACTCTCCTGCCTCTCCCCTCTCATCTCACTCCACTCCCCTCCACGCACTCTCCTGCCTCTCCCCTCTCATCTCACTCCACTCCCCTCCACGCACTCTCCTGCCTCTCCCCTCTCATCTCACTCCACTCCCCTCCACGCACTCTCCTGCCTCTCCCCTCTCATCTCACTCCACTCCCCTCCACGCACTCTCCTGCCTCTCCCCTCTCATCTCACTCCACTCCCCTCCACGCACTCTCCTGCCTCTCCCCTCTCATCTCACTCCACTCCCCTCCACGCACTCTCCTGCCTCTCCCCTCTCATCTCACTCCACTCCCCTCCACGCACTCTCCTACCTCTCCCCTCTCATCTCACTCCACTCCCCTCCACGCTCTCTCCTGCCTCTCCCCTCTCATCTCACTCCACTCCCCTCCACGCTCTCTCCTGCCTCTCCCCTCTCATCTCACTCCACTCCCCTCCACGCACTCTCCTGCCTCTCCCCTCTCATCTCACTCCACTCCCCTCCACGCACTCTCCTGCCTCTCCCCTCTCATCTCACTCCACTCCCCTCCACGCACTCTCCTGCCTCTCCCCTCTCATCTAACTCCACTCCCCTCCACGCTCTCTCCTGCCTCTCCCCTCTCATCTCACTCCACTCCCCTCTACGCTCTCTCCTGCCTCTCCCCTCTCATCTCACTCCACTCCCCTCTACGCTCTCTCCTGCCTCTCCCCTCTCATCTCACTCCACTCCCCTCCACGCACTCTCCTGCCTCTCCCCTCTCATCTCACTCCACTCCCCTCCACGCTCTCTCCTATCTCTCATCTCACTCCACTCCCCTCTCATCTCACTCCACTCCCCTCCACGCACTCTCCTGCCTCTCCCCTCTCATCTCACTCCACTCCCCTCCACGCTCTCTCCTACCTCTCCCCTCTCATCTCACTCTACTCCCCTCCACGCACTCTCCTACCTCTCCCCTCTCATCTCACTCCACTCTCCTCCACGCACTCTCCTACCTCTACCCTCTCATCTCACTCCACTCCCCTCCACGCACTCTCCTACCTCTCCCCTCTCATCTCACTCTACTCCCCACCACACACTTTCCTGCCTCTCATCTCACTCTACTCCCTTCCACACTCTCCTGCCTCTCCCCTCTCATCTCACTCCACTGCCCTCTACGCACTCTCCTACCTCTCCCCTCTCATCTCACTCCACTCCCCTCTACGCACTCTCCTGCCTCTCCCCTCTCATCTCACTCCACTCCCCTCCACGCACTCTCCTGCCTCTCCCCTCTCATCTCACTCCACTCCCCTCCACGCACTCTCCTACCTCTCCCCTCTCATCTCACTCCACTCCCCTCCACGCACTCTCCTACCTCTCCCCTCTCATCTCACTCCACTCCCCTCCACGCACTTTCCTGCCTCTCCCCTCTCACCTAACTCCACTCCCCTCCATGCACTCTCCTGCCTCTCCCCTCTCATCTCACTCCACTCTACTCGCTCACTCCACTCCCCTCCACTCAGTCACTCACTCCACTCACTCACTCCACTCACTCTCCTGCCTCTCCCCTCTCATCTCAGTCCACTCCCATCCACGCACTCTCCTGCCTCTCCCCTCTCATCTCACTCCACTCCCCTCAACACTCTCCTGCCTCTCCCCTCTCATCTCACTCCACTCCCCTCTACGCACTCTCCTGCCTCTCCCCTCTCATCTCACTCCACTCCACGCACTCTCCTGCCTCTCCCCTCTCATCTCACTCCACTGCCCTGCACGCACTCTCCTGCCTCTCCCCTCTCATCTCACTCCACTCCCCTCCACGCACTCTCCTGCCTCTCCCCTCTCATCTCACTCCACTCCCCTCCACGCACTCTCTTACCTCTCCCCTCTCATCTCACTCCACTCCCCTCTCATCTCACTCCACTCCCCTCCACGCACTCTCCTGCCTCTCCCCTATCATCTCACTCCACTCCCCTCCACGCTCTCTCCTACCTCTCCCCTCTCATCTCACTCCACTCCCCTCCACGCTCTCTCCTGCCTCTCCCCTCTAATCTCACTCCACTCTCCTCCACGCACTCTCCCACCTCTCCCCTCTCATCTCACTCCACTCCCCTCCACGCACTCTCCTACCTCTCCCCTCTCATCTCACTCCACTCCCCTCCACGCACTTTCCTGCCTCTCCCCTCTCACCTAACTCCACTCCCCTCCATGCACTCTCCTGCCTCTCCCCTCTCATCTCACTTCACTCTACTCGCTCACTCCACTCCCCTCCACTCAGTCACTCACTCCACTCACTCACTCCACTCACTCTCCTGCCTCTCCCCTCTCATCTCAGTCCACTCCCATCCACGCACTCTCCTGCCTCTCCCCTCTCATCTCACTCCACTCCCCTCCACACTCTCCTGCCTCTCCCCTCTCATCTCACTCCACTCCACGCACTCTCCTGCCTCTCCCCTCTCATCTCACTCCACTGCCCTGCACGCACTCTCCTGCCTCTCCCCTCTCATCTCACTCCACTCCCCTCCACGCACTCTCCTGCCTCTCCCCTCTCATCTCACTCCACTCCCCTCCACGCACTCTCCTACCTCTCCCCTCTCATCTCACTCCACTCCCCTCCACGCTCTCTCCTATCTCTCATCTCACTCCACTCCCCTCCACGCACTCTCCTGCCTCTCCCCTATCATCTCACTCCACTCCCCTCCACGCTCTCTCCTACCTCTCCCCTCTCATCTCACTCTACTCCCCTCCACGCACTCTCCTGCCTCTCCCCTCTAATCTCACTCCACTCTCCTCCACGCACTCTCCTACCTCTCCCCTCTCATCTCACTCCACTCCCCTCCACGCACTCTCCTACCTCTCCCCTCTCATCTCACTCCACTCCCCTCCACGCACTCTCCTGCCTCTCCCCTCTCACCTAACTCCACTCCCCTCCATGCACTCTCCTGCCTCTCCCCTCTCATCTCACTCCACTCTACTCGCTCACTCCACTTTCCTCCACTCAGTCACTCACTCCACTCACTCACTCCACTCACTCTCCTGCCTCTCCCCTCTCATCTCACTCCACTCCCCTCAACACTCTCCTGCCTCTCCCCTCTCATCTCACTCCACTCCCCTCCACACTCTCCTGCCTCTCCCCTCTCATCTCACTCCACTGCCCTGCACGCACTCTCCTGCCTCTCCCCTCTCATCTCACTCCCCTCTACGCACTCTCCGCCTCTCCCCTCTCATCTCACTCCACTCCCCTCCACGCTCTCCTCCGGCCTACTCCCCTCTCCTCTTACTCCACTCCCCCACGCACTCTCCTGCCTCTCCCCTCTCATCTCACTCCACTCCCCTCCACGCACTCTCCTGCCTCTCCCCCTCTCATCTCACTCCACTGTCCTGCACGCACTCTCCTGCCTCTCCCCTCTCATCTCACTCCACTCCCCTCCACGCACTCTCCTGCCTCTCCCCTCTCATCTCACTCCACTGTCCTGCACGCACTCTCCTGCCTCTCCCCTCTCATCTCACTCCACTGCCCTCCACGCACTCTCCTGCCTCTCCCCTCTCATCTCACTCCACTCCCCTCCACGCACTCTCCTGCCTCTCCCCTCTCATCTCACTCCACTGTCCTACACGCACTCTCCTGCCTCTCTCCCCCTCATCTCACTCCACTCCCCTCCACGCACTCTCCTGCCTCTCCCTCTCATCTCACTCCACTCCCTCCACGCACTCTCCTACCTCTCCCCTCTCATCTCACTCCACTCCCCTCTACGCACTCTCCTGCCTCTCCCCTCTCATCTCACTCCACTCCCCTCCACGCTCTCTCCTGCCTCTCCCCTCTCATCTCACTCCACTCCCCTCCACGCACTCTCCTGTCTCTCCCCTCTCATCTCACTCCACTGTCCTGCACGCACTCTCCTGCCTCTCCCCTCTCATCTCACTCCACTCCCCTCTACGCACTCTCCTGCCTCTCATCTCTCATCTCACTCCACTCCCCTCTACGCACTCTCCTGCCTCTCCCCTCTCATCTCACTCCCCTCCACGCTCTCTCCTACCTCTCCCCTCTAATCTCACTCCACTCTCCTCCACGCACTCTCCTACCTCTCCCCTCTCATCTCACTCTACTCCCCACCACACACTTTCCTGCCTCTCATCTCACTCTACTCCCCTCCACACACTCTCCTACCTCTCCCCTCTCATCTCACTCCACTCCCCTCCACGCACTCTCCTACCTCTCCCCTCTCATCTCACTCTACTCCCCTCCACACACTCTCCTACCTCTCCCCTCTCATCTCACTCCACTCCCCTCCACGCACTCTCCTGCCTCTCCCCTCTCACCTAACTCCACTCCCCTCCATGCACTCTCCTGCCTCTCCCCTCTCATCTCACTCCACTCCCCTCCACTCAGTCACTCACTCCACTCACTCACTCCACTCACTCTCCTGCCTCTCCCCTCTCATCTCACTCCACTCCCCTCCACGCTCTCTCCTGCCTCTCCCCTCTCATCTAACTCCACTCCCCTCCACGCACTCTCCTGCCTCTCCCCTCTCATCTCACTCCACTCCCCTCCACTCAGTCACTCACTCCACTCACTCACTCCACTCACTCTCCTGCCTCTCCCCTCTCATCTCACTCCACTCCCCTCCACGCTCTCTCCTGCCTCTCCCCTCTCATCTCACTCCACTCCCCTCCACGCACTCTCCTGCCTCTCCCCTCTCATCTAACTCCACTCCCCTCCACGCTCTCTCCTGCCTCTCCCCTCTCATCTCACTCCACTCCACTCCACGCACTCTCCTGCCTCTCCCCTCTCATCTCACTCCACTCCCCTCCACGCTCTCTCCTGCCTCTCCCCTCTCATCTCACTCCACTCCACTCCACGCACTCTCCTACCTCTCCCCTCTCATCTCACTCCACTGCCCTCCACGCACTCTCCTGCCTCTCCCCTCTCATCTCACTCCACTCCCCTCCACGCTCTCTCCTGCCTCTCCCCTCTCATCTCACTCCACTCCACGCACTCTCCTGCCTCTCCCCTCTCATCTCACTCCACTCCCCTCCACGCACTCTCCTGCCTCTCCCCTCTCATCTCACTCCACTGTCCTGCACGCACTCTCCTGCCTCTCCCCTCTCATCTCACTCCACTCCCCTCCACGCTCTCTCCTGCCTCTCCCCTCTCATCTCACTCTACTCCCCTCCACCCACTCTCCTACCTCTCCCCTCTCATCTCACTCCACTCCCCTCTACGCACTCTCCTGCCTCTCCCCTCTCATCTCACTCCACTCCCCTCCACGCTCTCTCCTGCCTCTCCCCTCTCATCTCACTCTACTCCCCTCCACACACTCTCCTGCCTCTCCCCTCTCATCTCACTCCACTCCCCTCTACGCACTCTCCTGCCTCTCCCCTCTCATCTCACTCCACTCCCCTCCACGCTCTCTCCTGCCTCTCCCCTCTCATCTCACTCTACTCCCCTCCACACACTCTCCTACCTCTCCCCTCTCATCTCACTCCACTCCCCTCCACGCACTCTCCTGCCTCTCCCCTCTCACCTCACTCCACTCCCCTCCATGCACTCTCCTGCCTCTCCCCTCTCATCTCACTCCACTCCCCTCCATGCACTCTCCCACCTTTCCCCTCTCATCTCACTCCACTCCCCTCCACGCTCTCTCCTGCCTCTCATCTCACTCCACTCCCCTCCACGCACTCTCCTGCCTCTCCCCTCTCATCTCACTCCACTCCCCTCCACGCACTCTCCTGCCTCTACACTCCCATCCACCCACTCTCCCCACCCAGCAGAGTAAAACTCGTCGCCTCTACTGGAGAGATCTTGACCTTAGGTCAGACGTTCCCTTATCCGGGGAAACTGTGCTGTAGTTCGGCATAAAACATTTCCCATAAGTTAAATTCGCCACACACCTGTCTAGCCTTGACCTCCCCTCTGCCTGCCTCACCTGTACCCGCGTCTCACCGCGTCTCGCCTGTCCCCTCTATCACTCACCTGCGAGTGTAGCCCAGACCAAAGGTATCACGAACCAGGTGTGCTCCATGGATCCAAGATGAGCTCACCTGTGCGTGCAGGTTGTGTACGTGCGCGTGTGTGTGTGTACCTGTGCGTGCAGGTTGTGTACGTGCGCGTGTGTGTGTGTACCTGTGCGTGTGTGCACCTGTGTGTGTGTACTTGTGCGTGTGTGTGTGTACCTGTGCGTGTATGTGTGTACCTGTGCGTGTGTGCACCTGTGTGTGTGTGTACCTGTGCGTGTGTGTGTGTACCTGTGCGTGTGTGTGTACCTGTGCGTGTGTGTATGTACCTGTTCGAGTGTGTGTCTACCTGTGCGTGTGTGTGTACCTGTGTGTGTGTACCTGTGTGTTTGTACCTGTGTGTGTATGCACCTGTGCGTGTGTATGTACCTGTGTATGTGTGTATGTACCTGTGTGTGTGTGTACCTGTGTGTGTGTATGTGTCTACCTGTGTGTGTGTATGTGTCTATGTACCTGCGTGTGTGTGTGTACCTGTGCGTGTGTGTATGTACCTGTGTGTGTGTGTACCTGTGTGTGTGTGCCTGTGCGTGTGTGTACCTGTGCGTGTGTGTGTGTGTACCTGTGCGTGTGTGTACCTGTGCGTGTGTGTGTGTGTATATGTGCAGGTGTTGCGTGTGTGTAGGTGTTAGGTTCTTGGTAAAAGCATTTGCCCTGTGAACAGATGTGTGCGTGTGTGTGTCTGTGTCTAAATATAGAACAGATGTGTGTGTGTGTAATGCGGTATGTGTGAATTGTTAAGGAGGGCCTGTGTACGCATAAAATCCTGCGTATGCACCTGTGCGTAAATGTGTGTATGCTCCCCTATCGTTTCCGTGCAGTGCACGTACTATATGTACCTGTGTATGTGTGTATATGTGTATATGTACCTGTGTATGTGTGTATATATGCACACCTGTGTGTGTGTGTGTACACCTGTGTATGTACGTGTGTGTGTGTGTACACCTGTGTGTGTACACGTGTGTATGTGTGTGTATATGCACACCTGTGTGTATGTACACCTGTGTATGTGTGTGTATGCACACGTGTGTATGTGTGTGTACACCTGCGTGTGTGTGTATGTACACGTGTGTATATGTGTGTGTGTACACGTGTGTATGTGTGTGTATATGCACACCTGTGTGTACACCTGTGTGTGTGTATGTACACGTGTATGTGTGTATGTACACGTGTGTATGTACACGTGTGTATGTGTGTACACGTGTGTATGTGTGTCTATGTACACGTGTATATGTGTATGTACACGTGTGTATGCACACACGTGTATGTGTGTATGTGTGTGTACACCTGTGTGTGTGTACACGTGTATGTGTACACGTGTGTATGTGTGTGTGTGTACACCTGTGACCTTGTCTAAAGGCGAGTTGTGGAGAATGTGGCGCTCCCACTTCGGTGCCGCGTGAGATCTCGTCGCGTGAGTGGCGCTCACGGCAATCGGCCGCGCGAGAGTGTGTCCAACCCCTACGTCCACTCGGCACGAAGTCCGCCGGGCTCAATGTCCAATCGCAGGGACCAGGTGACGTGGGGGGCGGGGCGAAGCCTAGCACCGTGACGTCATGATGACCTCACTGGCGGTGGGACGTTGGTGGGGGTCCATCTCACTACCGGGCGCTATGCTGGCCAGGAGATGTTAACTACCTCGCCTGGTCTACAGGAGGTCGTGGGTTCTATCCCTGACCCTGACGCCTGCTGCTGTATATTTGGAGTTTGCGTGTCTCTCTCTCTCTCATCATCATCAGGGTGGCTAGGAGATGTTAACTACCTCGCCTGGTACACAGGAGGTCGTGGGTTTGATCCCGAACCTGACGCCTGCTGCTGTATATTTGGAGTTTGCGTGTCACTCTCTCTCATCATCATCACGGTGGCTAGGAGATGTTAACTACCTCGCCTGGTACACAGGAGGTCGTGGGTTCTATCCCTGACCCTAACGCCTGCTGCTGTATATTTGGAGTTTGCGTGTCTCTCTCTCTCTCATCATCATCAGGGTGGCTAGGAGATGTTAACTACCTCGCCTGGTACACAGGAGGTCGTGGGTTCTATCCCTGACCCTGACGCCTGCTGCTGTATATTTGGAGTTTGCGTGTCTCTCTCTCTCTCTCTCATCATCATCAGGGTGGCTAGGAGATGTTAACTACCTCGCCTGGTACACAGGAGGTCGTGGGTTTGATCCCGACCCTGACGCCTGCTGCTGTATATTTGGAGTTTGCGTGTCACTCTCTCTCATCATCATCACGGTGGCTAGGAGATGTTAACTACCTCGCCTGGTACACAGGAGGTCGTGGGTTCTATCCCTGACCCTAACGCCTGCTGCTGTATATTTGGAGTTTGCGTGTCTCTCTCTCTCTCATCATCATCACGGTGGCTAGGAGATGTTAACTACCTCGCCTGGTACACAGGAGGTCGTGGGTTCTATCCCTGACCCTAACGCCTGCTGCTGTATATTTGGAGTTTGCGTGTCTCTCTCGTCATCATCATCATCACGGTGGCTAGGAGATGTTAACTACCTCGCCTGGTACACAGGAGGTCGTGGGTTTGATCCCGACCCTGACGCCTGCTGCTGTATATTTGGAGTTTGCGTGTCTCTCATCATCATCACGGTGGCTAGGAGATGTTAACTACCTCGCCTGGTACACAGGAGGTCGTGGGTTTGATCCCGACCCTGACGCCTGCTGCTGTATATTTGGAGTTTGCGTGTCTCTCTCTCATCATTATCACGGTGGCTAGGAGATGTTAACTACCTCGCCTGGTCTACAGGAGGTCGTGGGTTCTATCCCCAACCCTGACGCCTGCTGCTGTATATTTGGAGTTTGCGTGTCTCTCTCATCATCATTATCACGGTGGCTAGGAGATGTTAACTACCTCGCCTGGTACACAGGAGGTCGTGGGTTCGACCCCGACCCTGACGCCTGCTGCTGTATATTTGGAGTTTGCGTGTCTCTCTCGTCATCGTCATCATCATCACGGTGGCTAGGAGATGTTAACTACCTCGCCTGGTACACAGGAGGTCGTGGGTTCTATCCCTGACCTTGACGCCTGCTGCTGTATATTTGGAGTTTGCGTGTCTCTCTCTCTCTCATCATCATCACGGTGGCTAGGAGGTGTTAACTACCTCGCCTGGTGTACAGTAGGTCGTGGGTTCGACCCCGACCCTGACACCTGCTGCTGTATATTTGTAGTTTGCGTGTCTCTCTCGTCATCATCATCATCATCACGGTGGCTAGGAGATGTTAACTACATCACCTGGTGCACAGGAGGTCGTGAGCTTGATCCCGACCCTGACGCCTGCTGCTGTATATTTGGAGTTTGCGTGTCTCTCTCTCTCATCATCACGGTGGCTAGGAGATGTTAACTACCTCGCCTGGTCTACAGGAGGTCGTGGGTTCTATCCCCAACCCTGACGCCTGCTGCTGTATATTTGGAGTTTGCGTGTCTCTCTCGTCATCGTCATCATCATCACGGTGGCTAGGAGATGTTAACTACCTCGCACCACGGCGACCTCCTGCAGACCAGGCGAGGGAGATAACATCTCTGAGGCCACCATCCGAGGGGGCCACTTAAAATCCCGAGCCTCTCAGGGGGTTTTGGGGGGGGGGCTCGACTGGACTTTTCAAGCCGAACGGAGTGAAAAGAAATAAATAAATAACTATTTGGTTCTTTCGGTAAAGTCACACATCGGCCTCTGTGTGCCGATGTGTGTTCTCTCTCTGTGTGTCTTTGTGGTATCTGCCTGCTTATATTCTGTCTATAGTTTTCTGGTTAGATTTTTGTTGCTATTTCTTTTATACCTGATAATGATTGCTTGCGTTGCAATCGAAACGTCGTAGTATGCTATTATTTAATTTATTATTTTATCTTTATACGTCACTTTACCGAAAGAACCAAAGAGTAATTCCTGCAGTCACGAAAGCTCCAAATCAAGAATGAATAAATAAACGTCCCGAAGAATCCGACAGCAGAGGGCGCTCAAGCCCCTCTCAGCTCCTGTTTGAGCTCAACGAACAATGGCGGCGCAAAAAAATGGCGACCGCCACGTGGTTGAGCAAAGTCGCGAGCCGTCGACGACGATGACGACGCCAGTTCGACGTCCAGCGCCGGTGACGTTCGCCCACCAAACGCCGGGGGTCACGTGAATTCTGAGTGACCCCCGGATGACCTCGCCCTGTGCAATATGCAAATCGGGCGACGTTACATAAAAGCCGGCGACGAATCCCACGCCTGTCAAGCCCTTGTCAGTGATTCTAGATTTGAAGCTTTCGTGACTGCAAGGATCCATACTGTTAGTTTTTTCGGCAAAGTCACGTGGGTAAAAAATGAAATTAAAATTAATAAAAATAAAATTATTAAAAATCACGACGTTTCGGAGGCAACACAAGTCTCCGTCATCAGGTGGGACCGTCACAGCCAGAATTGCTGCATCAGGTGGGACCGTCACAGCCAGATTTGCTGTATTGATACGCAATTTTACACAGATTTGCTGTATTGATACCTGATGACGGAGACTTGTGTTGCCTCCGAAACGTCGTGATTTTTTGTGATTTTATTTTTATTAATTTAAATTTCATTTTTTACCTACGTGACTTTACCGAAAAAACTAACAGTATGGACCCTTGTTAGTTGCCTTACCTTATTGCAGACCAATTCACACCTTGTTGGTCACCGTGTGTCCCTTATAAATCTCAACGTTCATCCTAGAAAGTTTCATCGCAAGGGAGAAACACAAACGAATAGAACATTTTTTTTCTTGGTTCTTTCGGTAAAGTCACGTAGACGGGAAATAAAAAAAAACAATAAAAATTCTCACGACGTTTCGACTGCAACACAAGCAATCAAGAATATGAATCCCTGCAGTCACGAAAGCTTTAAATCAAAATTTAAGACAATTTATTCTTATTTTGCCGTATGGACCTGAACACACTCAATTTACCTGTACAAGAATATGGGATAAACCATATGGGATGACGCGGTATGGGTTGACACAGCAATGGGTTGACACAGCAATGGGTGGACACGGTACGGGTTGACAGCTATGGGTTGACACGCTATGGGTTGACACGCTATGGGTTGACACGCTATGGGTTGACATGCTGTGTCTTGATCGCACAGCGAGCCAGATTCGCACGGCCGAAATCCTCTCGTGGGGGGACACACGGAGGGGGGGGGGGCGAAAGAGGGGGAGGAGGGAGGGAGAACTTCCTGTAGATGTGAACTACATTTAAAAATATATATAAGTAAGACCCCCACTGAGCTACTATGAACGGCGAAAAATCCACGCATTCACGGGGAGAAAGAGAGACGCTAAAACTCCAAATATACAGCAGCAGGTGTCACTGTCGGGATCAAACCCACGACCTCCTGTATACCAGGCGAGGTAGTTAACATCTCCTAGCCACCGTGATGATGATGATGAGAGACACGCAAACTCCAAATATACAGCAGGTGTCAGGGTCCGGATCGAACCCACGACCTCCTGTAGACCAGGCGAGGTAGTTAACATCTCCTAGCCACCGTGATGATGATGAGAGAGAGACACGCAAACTCCAAATATACAGCAGCAGGCGTCAGGGTCGGGATCGAACCCACGACCTCCTGTAGACCAGGCGAGGTAGTTAACATCTCCTAGCCACCGTGATGATGATGAGAGAGAGACACGCAAACTCCAAATATACAGCAGGTGTCAGGGTCGGGATCGAACCCACGACCTCCTGTAGACCAGGCGAGGTAGTTAACATCTCCCAGCCACCGTGGCGTCCCAGGCTGCGAGATGAGGGAGCAGCGTCATGGAGAGGCTCGTGTCAGTGAGGAGGAGGTGGAGCAGGAGGAGGAGAATCTTGAACTCTCCTCGAATCCAGACTGCCAGACAGGGCATGCCCCCCCCCCCATAGTGGGCTTGCGGGGCCCGGGGCAAACTCCACGCTGTGTTGGGAGGGGTGGGGCAAAACCAGAAGTATTACATCTCACACCGTGATGGAGGTCGAAGTCTGGCCCTCCATCCTGCCCCCCAAAGCGCGGGGCCCCGGGCGGTCGCGCCCCGATGTTACCCCCATTCGGGACGGCTCGGCGAGCAGCCAATGGAGAGGTGCCAGCGCGCGGGGTCACAAGTTCAGCCAGAATGTTGGGCAGCCCGCGTTGTAGGTGCCGGTTGTGGGTGAGCGACTTCATAGTTGAAAGGAGGGAGCGGGGGGGGGAGATGGCAAATAGTGGAGGGCAGAAGTCGCACACGCACGAACCAGCTTCTCGGTCGTTCACTCACTCGCTCGCGCACCTAACCACTCACTCACTCAAACACACACTCACTCGCCTAACCACACACTCAACCACACACTCACCCACCTAACCACGCACTCACCTAACCACACACTCACCTACCTAACCACTCACTCACTCAAACACACGCTCACTCACTCGCCTAACCACTCACTCAAACACCCACTCACCCGCCTAACCACACACTCACCCACCCACCACTCACCCACCTAACCACACACTCAAACACCCACCCACCCACTCACCCACCTAACCAC